TTTTCTATGGACTGTTTGAATGCGCGCGCGGCGGCGGGGGACGTCGGTGGGGGTATCAACTGTATTTTGATACTAATATACATATATATTTAAATCAAAATACATTTAGAATGACGTTATAAATACATATATATACATATATATATATGTAAATATATATATAAATTAAAATAATAATATATATATATATATATATATATATATATATTTATTTAAATTCTACAAATATATTTATATAATATTTTTACATAATTAAGTAATTTTAGTAAATACAATCTGAGGGACCTGCCTGACAACCCAGGCAGAAAGTCCAGAGAATTTGGTTCGCAAGCCCTATATTTAACCCTGTGACTTTCCAGGACACCATAAAACATGTACATGGGGGGTACTTTTTTACTTGGGAGACTTCGCTGGACACAAATATTAGTGTTTCAAAGCAGTAAAACATATCACAATAATGATATTGTATTTTTCACACACAAATGGCACTTTGATTGACGATATAATTGTTGTAATACGTTTTACTGTTCTGAAACACTAATATTTGTGTTCCGCGAGCTCTCGCGAGTAAAACCGAACCCCCCATATACAGGTTTTATGATGTTTTTAAAAGTTACAGAGTTAAATATAAGGCTTACATTCCCTTTTTTTCACATTGAAATTTGCCAGATTGGAAATGTTGCCTTTGAGACCGTATGTTAGCACAAGAATAAGAATTACCCCCATGATGGCGTACCATTTGCAAAAGTAGACAACCCAAGGTATTGAAAATGGGGTATGTCCCATATTTTTTAGTAGCCACTTAGTCACAAACACTGGCCAAAATTAGCATTCAGGTTAGTATTTTGCATTTTTCCCACAAATATGAACGCTAACTTTGACCGCTAAGTGGCTAATAAAAAAACTGGACATACCCCATATTGAATACCCTGTGTTGTCTACTTTAAAAAATTATGTACATGTAAGGTGTGATTCAGAAATTTATGACACATAACAGTGTTACAATGTCGCTATTAATACATTTTAAAAATATATATTTTGAAACAGCAATGTCCTACTTGTACTTATAGCCCAATAACTTGCAAAAAAAAGCTAAGAACATGCTAACATTGGGTATTTCTAAACTCAAAATTTTTAAACTATTTAGCATGGGTGTTTTTTGTCGGTTGTAGATGCGTAACAGATTTTGCAAGTCAAAGTTAGAAAAGTGTGTTTTATTTTCATTATATTTTATAATTGTTTTTATAGTAAATTATATGATATGATGCAAATAATGATATCTTTAGAAAGACCATTTAATGGCAAGAAAAACTGTATATGATATGTGTGGGCACAGTATATGAGTAAGAGGAAAATTACAGCTAAACACAAACAATCAACAAAATAGTGTAATATTGTAAAGAAATTTGCCCATTTTAAATTGTATTCACATTGAAGATTTTGACAAAAGGCTTGTCAAATTTATTAGCTCATTTAAATCCTCATGACAGATTCCTTTCCTCCATCGGCAAATTAATAGCTCATGAGTATGACTGAAATAAATATATAATTATACCATAAAAAGTACAAAATGAATCCCTGCGTTCAAACTCCCACTACTCTTGGGCAGCAGCAGTGTCAAAAAAGTATATCTAGGTTTAAATGGAGGTTTTTAGTATCACTCCAATGCCCTATCAATTGTAAGCTCATCTGCCACATCAAGGCAAAACCTCTGAAGTGAGTCCTACACTAACAATTCACCTCGCTGCTTACTGTTAAAAGGTAAAACCTCTAATGAGACAGAAAGGGAAATTTTTCTAACCCCCACACACTTATTAACCCTTAATAGAAAACATATGGAGTGGGTGGCAGCACTGTAACATGGCTGTGTAAAACAAAAGCAAATAAAAGCCCTGAGACTCAAACTCCCAGCAATGACTATAGTACACATCAGCCCTGATAAATAAAATAAAAAACAAAGAAAAAACTTACTTGGTCTCTATCCCAAATCACTATGCACATTAACCCCTTAAGGACTGAGCCAAATGTACACGTTGTGATCAAAACAAAACGTAAACAAAAACTTTAATTTGCGTTTGTTCAGGTGTAATTCGCCTCTTTCATTTTATGTGCACCCACACTTATTATCATTTTATTCAGGGGAAACAGGGCTTTCATTTAACATCAAATATTTAGGTATAAAACATAATTTAATATGAATAAAATATAAAAAAATGAGAGAAAATAAGAATTTAAAAAAATTGTTTAGTTCTACGTGACATTCTAACTGTGAATGTCATAATACTGTTTGACTTTACTGCAATAAAATACACATATTTTTATTCAGCGATGTCTCACGTGTAAAACAGTACCCCCTTTGTACAGGTTTCATGGTGTTTTGGGAAGTTACATGGTCAAATATAGCATGTTACATTTTTCAGTTTTTTCACTTTGAAATTCGCCAGATTGGTTACGTTGCCTTTGAGACCGTATGGTAGCCCAGGAATGAGAATTACCCCCATGATGGCATACCATTTGAAAAAGTAGACAACTCAAGGTATTGCAAATGGGGTATTCCCATTCTTTTTTAATAGCCACTTGGTCACAAACACTAGCCAAATTTAGTGTTAATATTTGAAAAGGCAAAAAACTAATTTGAACATCAATTTTGGCCAGTGTTTGTGACTAAGTAGCTACTAAAAAAGACTGGACATACCCCATTTGCAATACCTTGGGTTGTCTACTTTTGCAAATGGTATGCCATTATGGGGGTAATTCTCATTCCTGGGCTACCGTACGGTCTCAAAGCAACGTAACCAATCTGGCGAATTTCAATGTGAAAAAACTGAAACCCAAGCCTTATATTTGACTCTCTACCTTTTGAAAACACCATAAAGCCTGTACATGAGGGGTACTGTTATTCGCTGAACACAAATATTAGTGTTTCAAAACGGTAAAATGTATCACAACAATTATATTGTCTGTGTAAGTGCCATTTGAGTGTGAAAAATTCAAAAAATTTCACTTTCACTGACAATATCGTCGTTGTAATACATGTTACTGTTTTGAAACACTAATATTTGTGTTCAGCGAAGTCGTCAGAGTAAAACAGTACCCCCCATGTACAGGTTTTATGGTGTCTTGTTAAATATAGTGCTAGCAAATTAAATTCCCTGGAATTTTGGCCTGGGTTGTCAGGCTGGTCCTGCTAATTGTAATTAATAAAATGAGCTAATTATGTAAAATTATTACATAATTATATACGTAGAATTATTATATATATATGTGTATATAAATATATGTATATATATATATATATATATATATGTGTGTGTGTATATAATTATTTTTAATTATTTTTATTTATATATATGTGTATATATATATATATATAGTGATATATACGTATATACTTATGTATATAGATATATATATTATTTCGTTCTACATGTATTTTGATATCAATATATATATATATATATCTATATATTCATTTTAAAATACAGTTAGAAGAGATTTACACATATATATATATTTTATTTATTTTTTATTATTTTTTTAATTACATTTTTTCACGTATTTACAGATTTATTTATTTTATATTATATATAAATATATATAATAATAATTATATATATATATATATTTAATCAATATTATCGTATGTGTACTTTGATATTAATATAGATATATAATTATGTATACATTAATATTAAAATACACGTATACAGTGTATGTGTATTTATGTGTATGTGTGTATATATACTTGGATCATATATATAATTAATATATATATGATCTAAGTATATATTATTTAATTTTACACTGTTTTAACATTTATTTTTATTTTTTTCAGACAGCAGGGGGAGTACCTGTCATTACAGGCACTCCTCCTGCTGGCAATGCCTTGGACGACTATGCCATCCATGTGATCACATGGCCCAGGAGGGCCAAAGAGGACGGAGAGGGACTCCCTGGGCTCCCAGGTAAGTCCCCATACCGCGATCGCCGGCGTGGGATCGCCGGCGACCGGGTAAGTACAAAGGACAGTTTGGGCATTCTATGCCGCCCTGCAGCGTTTAGAGTCGCTTCCTTAAAGGCGGCATAGAATGCCCGCCGTCCTTAAGGGGTTAAAATGACTGGAGTTTTTTTTAGTATCACTCAAATGACCATTGAAGTATAATCTCACCTGCTGCTTTAAGGCAAAACCTTACATTTTAAACCTCCCTCATAGTAATATAGTCTTATTCACCCTCTAGGTTATTTATTTATTTATTTAATTTTGCATTTTTTAATGTGGCAGTCGGCTAGCAAGCGTTGGCCAGCCGCCACATAATTAACCCTTGCATTGCCAAAGATTTTTAACTTTTTGCCCGCTGGCTGCTTATTAACCCTTAAAACCGCATTTAAAACGTGATTTATCTTTACAGTATTGGAATTGCCCAATAAATACTGTATGCTATAATAAGTCATGCTTTACTATTTAAACTATGGTTTATTTTTATGTTTGCAGTACTGGAATTGTCATGTATTATTTCCATGCCACAATAAAAACATAGATATATTTATGACAATCTAACATGCAGACAGATGCTGTGTAGGAGTAATTACTGCTTAGGTGGACGTTTAGACTAGCATTCTCCCTAGCAATGTTTGTGATATCTGTAAACATAAACAAAAGCAATTAACCCAAACCAGAGTTTCTTCTGCATACACCTGCAGGCATGTTAATATTTCAGTGTGCAATGTTATCAAACCTCGTTTATGTTAAGCAATTTGTCTTTTGTTGGCCTGGTCAAATATTTGAATGTTAAATAAAGATAATGGACCACAGTCATGTCTATTATTAGATGACGTTCATTTGTTTGATCTCTTTCTAGGTCGTTAATAATGATGTCAATCTTGCAAAGTTAATCAGTAGAACGAGAAATGAATACATTCTGCGTGTTGATTTAAAAGCCAGTGTTTTGGGGGTGGGGCCGGACTGCCATGCGAGCAGGTCACACAACAGAGCTGCTCCTGCAACTTCTATGAGTTTTAACGCTTAAAAACAGATTTACTACCTATCCGACGATAAAGAGACGGCAACCCTGTGTATGCAACCACCCTGATCCCGAGGAGAGGCTTGCTGCTAAGTTTTAGTCCCTCGGAGGGGTGCTCTCTGTCTCTGCAATGGGGAGTGCTCAGGCGGTGAGTGGAGTGGACGGCCGGTGCCCCGCTATCCTGCTCACCAGCGGTGCGAGTGAGACACGTGGCTAGGGGGGTCTGGCCCCGTTTCTCCCCCTCTGGACCGGGGGGGAGATCCCGGTCCCCACCCTAGGCCCGCCAGCGAGCAGCAACACCAGCACCACGGGCTGTGATAGAGTTCCAACACTCGAAGGTCGCAACAAGATGGCAGAGATCATAAGCCGAGGCACCCAAGTAAGCAGCAAGGTGGAGGCGTACACCTCACACTGGAGGCAAGCTGCCAAGGGCCAAGAAGGAACCGGCAAGTACCTGTTACAACCCAACTCGGGTCAACCTACACAGCGGGGGAAAAGCCAGGACCACGCTGAGCCTTTTCGGGCAGTGGTACAAGCCAGTTGCGGAAGCCGACACCAGCGACCTAACACACGCACGTGCACCTACTAAAAGTGTCCTCGAGAGACATAGACCCAGCGACGGAGACCAGCACGCCAACCCTCTTAAAGCACCGTGAAAATGCTGCGACAGCCCGCAAACTCAAAGACCGCACGGACACAACATGGCTGAAGGGATCCAGCTCCTGCCCGAGGCAGACACTGGACTAGACCACAAGTGAACCATAAAGGGGCTGGTGCTCTGCCACTGACCTGGTCCGTACTCACCGAGGCTGTATTTAAGCTTTTGTACCCTTGGCTGCCACTGCACTCCACTATGCCTCATGGGCGAGCTTCATAGCACACAACAACTGACTCCCATTTGGCTGGAGAGGGATTAATCGGGGGTGGAAAAACCTGCATAGGTCTAAGCATTATGATAATGCCTTAAGTAAGAGCCTGTTAATTCTGTATTACTACTTGCTCTAGCTGGTATGCATGTAGCATTGAAATCATTAGTACACCTAGCATACCTTAAAAACGCAACTATAACATGCCTATGGTTATCTTTTTATTGCGCTTCATAATTAGTGCATGTGTATTTAACTTGAAACACAGATGCGCTTGCTGTTCTTAGAATGCTCATAACCATCTTGAGCCCAGCTACTTTACCACATAAGGGTGTACCTGTCCTAAACGTACTCTAATCCATTTTTTAGCTCAAACCTGTACACCTTCCACAGCAATAACCGTTATAGCCTTAATCTGTTATTTTTAATGTACCTTGTTATACAGTGGTTCTTGAGATATAATCTGTTCCAATATACATAAATATAAAATTGTGCAAGTTTCATAATGTACCTAAATGTTACAATTGACTGAAATGCATTGAAGGAATGCCGTTGGGGTACCTTCACATGTGAATGTTATATGAGCATGCACTGCAAAAATAAAGATTAAAAAATAAATAAATAAATAAAGCCAGTGTTTTTTTTTTTGACCTGAAAACAGATAAACTAATAAAAACATGTCAACATGTCAACACCCATTACAGATCATGTTGTATACATTATGAATGCACTCCCCTAACTTAAGAGTCACATACCTGAGTGCTCTTATCACAGCTGGTACTACTACTGTCCTTATTTCCCACATATTTTCTAACTCTTCTTTCAGTCCTTGATAGTTGTCCATCTTCTTAAGTTTTTTCTTCCTGATGTTGTAGTCACTTGGTATTCCACAACCACTGTAGTCTTCTGTTCGTTGTCTATCACCACAATGTCAGGTTGGGTGGCCAATACTTGCTTGTATTTCTGGTTCTGGAAGTCACAAGATCTTAGTCCTGTCATTCTAAACTACCTTTTGTGGTATCTCCCATCTGGACTTAGGCAGGTCTAGCCCATAGTCTGTGCAAATGTTTTGGTACACAATCCCAGCTTGGTTGTGCCTTTCAGTATATGCTGTTCCTGTTAACATCTTGCAACCGGCTCGACTATGTGCTGGATTGTCTCAGAGGCCTCTTTGCAAAGTCTGCACTTTGGGTCTTGCCTGGTGTGGTAGACCCTCATTTTTATTGATCAGGGGCTGAGTGCCTGTTCCTGTGCTGCTAGGATTTGTGTCTCAGTGCTGTCGTTGATTCCTGCCTTTTCCAACTATTGGTAGGATTTTGTCATGTGCGCCACATCCACTATATGCCAATGGTAAACCCTATGGAGAGGTTTGTCTTGCCATGGAACATCCTCTTTTTCTTCATCCTCTATTATGGCAGGAATACCAGGCTAAGAAGCACGTAAGAGACTGGACACAGATTCCAGGAAGCAAACATTATTTATTTGCAGCTGCAATGTTTCAGTCAGACTATTGTCTTCAAAGGACTAAACAACCCGTTACAACAGAACAAAGATTAAATATCATAAATGCCGTATTCCATACGTATACACAATTAAACCCTTACTGCAGCATATTATTAACAAGTTAACAAGGTATTACTCATCACTACATGTATTAGCTACTTGTAAGAATTCATGGCATTCCACATATGCGACCTGGTCCTGAGTGTTTATACAGCAATTTAATCACATAAGTTCCAGATGTTTCTGAGGCATCCAGTAGCCTCTATCACACTATCTGTTGAAGTCTCAGACATTCCCTTAGCAGTTCATCTTTGAGAGCCATCTTCATGATGTACTTGTGGCTTGACACTCATCAGGCCCTGACTTCTTTTCTTCCGGCTTGAGTACAGTCTCTGCATTCTGGATTTTGGGTGTAATCCTTCATTCATAGTGAGTAGTTTCTGGGTCTTGACATCCATAGTGACCAGTTCTTCTCTTGGCCGGTATTGCAGCTGGGTACCTGATTACTGGTAGGGCATATGTGTTAATGGCTTGAATCTTGTTCATGGCATTGAGCTGAGACTTCAGGACCTGTCTGACTCTCTGGAGATACGTGGATGTTGCTATCTTCCTTGTCTCTTCCTTGTGGTTGCCATGTGTTTGTGGTGCCCCCAAGTACTAGTAGCTCTTCTCCACATCTCCTATTTGGTTTTCTGGTACTTGAACTCCTTCTGTCCTGATCATCTTCCCTCTTTTTGCTATCACCTGCCCACACTTATCCAGACCAAACGACATTCTGATGTCCTTGATGTATATCTTAGCAAGGTGGATCAGTGAGTAAATATCCTACTCCTTCTTGGCATACAGCTTGATGCTGTCCCTGTAGAGTTGGTGGCTAATGTTTGCCCCACTCTTGAACTTGTATATGCATTCAGAGTTGTTTTCCACTTGCCCATTAAGTTCATGATGAAGGCTCATATTGTCTTGTTGAAATTGTATAGGGCCAAGCATTCCAGTATCCAAGTGTGAGGTATTGTGTCATAGGCATTCTTGCAGTCAATCCAGACAGTGCACAAATTGGTCTGTCTGGCCTTAAAATCCTGTGTGACTGCCTGGTCTACCAGTAGTTGGTTGTGTTTTGATCCTCTGGTGTTGTTTTCAATTCCCTTTTGAGCATTGGGTATGTACTGACTCATATAGAGGTTATGATGCCTGGCAGGGCCTTCCATATTGTGGAGAGGCAGGTGCTTGGTTAGTAGTTAGATTATGTTGTTCCCTTGTGAGGGTCCATCATGACCAGAAGTTCTTCCAGTACTGTTCAGTCTTGGGTAGATACATTGTGGTTCCCCTGCAGCTGTGCATACATCATGGATGGGTCTTTGGTAAACAGGACATTGATTTTTTTTAACATCTGCTACTCTGGTGTATCTGCTCAATCTGGTTGCCAGTGCTGTCATTCTTTGCTTAACTGTTTTCAGTGCTTCTGGTATGGACATATCATTGTATTTCTTCAGTAGCAAGGGTATATCCTTGATCTTTCCACCTCTGTGAAGTTGGTCCAGCTTACTAACTTCTTTCCATGTTGTCTTTATCTTGGCTTCCAGTTGTAGTCTCCATGGTTGGCAATGCTTCTCTTTGAGGCCAATCTTGTACTTAAGCATCTAGAGAACTACTAATGGTGTGGCATATATGAGCCTGTTGGTCTCTGTGAACGTGTGGATTGGAATTGTGAACAGTGCCTCATTAATTGCAGCTAGCATTCTGTCTGCTGGCAATTTTCCAGTGATTTTTGGTAGTTTTATCTGATGGTCAAGGGCTGCTAGCTTTTCTAAGATCATGTTTCTTATATCTGCTGTTATGCCATCTTGGGGCAGGGATTTAGGTTGGTTGCAGACCATTATAATATTAAGCAGTCCATAGCCACATGTATGCAGAATGTCTCAGGAAAAATGCCAGGATATTCTGACATTATGGTCACTGTTCTATCACCCATACAGATGCACAGTCTAGCAGTCAGCTCAGATATTGGCCTTAATTTAATATTTTCTGTATGCTTTTAAAACATTTTTTATATTTTTGGATAACATTTAAAATGTTAAAAACTTTAAAAATATTACAATAGTTTTCAAAATTTGAAATCATTTGAAGAGCTTTTCAAAATATATTCAATTTAGTCTATACTGGTAGATTATTATGGGCCATTCAGCCCCAACAGGTATAAATACTACTTGTAGTCTAGGGGGATAGAGTTTCCAGGTGCCTGTGGAGCGAAAATAAATCCTGAAAGCCCTCCAGCAGTGATTGAAAGTGTTCCTAATTAGTATTTGGAATTCATACCCAGTTTCTGTAAAATATAATAATTAACACAATGGTACCTTTAGGATCCCACCTGGAGCATATAATTTCCACAGAGTGACTGGTAAAACATTCAAACACTGCTCAAATTGATATGAGTCATCTGGAAGCATAGTGACCTGGCAACCTTCTTATGGACTCAGGTTGATCTTTATCACAAACTGCATAAAGAACTTGCATAGTAGTTTGGTAGAATACCCAAAATTATATCTAGTCTGGCGCCAGAATGCTGCACAGAATTCACACTAGCCAGCCCAGAACTTGTGTTTTGGGCGCGCTTATGATGCCCCAATGATGCAGCTATAGGTGGAGTTACACCTATGGTAGCACAGGGGTTAAACTTTGTATGTGTAGTGGTTTATAGAGAAATGCTGTACATATTCAAATCGGTGAAGTGGTTATGGTGTTTAGAGTAACCCTTTAAAGCTTATTTTCAGGTTTTTGGATTTTATTTATTTTTTGCTCTTCCAAAGCACTCTTGCTGTGACGAAGCACAATCTTTTAATTAAAATTGTATCATTTTAGAATTTAATAATTTTGTCTTTTCAGTAAAATTATATTTCTAAAAAGAGAAATGTACTTTCATTTTACTTACATTAAAAACCAACATTACTGTGTTTTTAAATTTTAAATCTCTAGACATAAGTAGATTTCAAATTGCACTTCGGCTATGCTGTTTTTACAGTCAAAAAAGTACAAACTATTACAATTCTGACATTCCTCCTGAGGGGTACATTAGGCTCTCAGCATGCTTATACCATTCTACAAGCTTTCCTTCAATGTCCTAACACTTTAGTAAATGACTAAGTTTCCCAGATGTCGGCGGCTGACAGCACGGGTGACAGTGTCACTTGGCTTAAATTATCTTGCATTCCTTCAAGAGACTTCCTTAGTAGACTTGAACACAGGGTGATCTTCTCCAGGAGTGATTGTTACAGAATAGAGGGCACTTCAAGGTCATACTTTGTCTGTGTACCAACAGAATAGAACTAAGTTGC